CTCTGAGATACCACTTAGCAGAAATACTGTTAAAGATCGAGTCCAGCACATGGCAAGTGATGTTAGTCAGCAGCTTACCACTGACTTACAAAAGGCAGCCTGTTACTCCATGTGCTTGGATGAAAGCACAGATATAAATGATCATGCAAGGCTAGCAGTAATTTTGCGTTATGCTGTTGGTGATATCATGAGAGAACAGCTGGTGAAACTAGTGTCTTTGCCTGAAAGAACACAAGGGATAGATATCTACAATGCTGTGATGGAAGCTTTTTTGTCACATGACCTAAGACCAGAAAAAGTTGTTTCAATTACTAGTGATGGGGCACCTTCTATGGTGGGGGCAACATCTGGTTTCATACAGTTCTTTGTTAAAGAAACAAAACATCAAGTCATTCAGTTCCATTGTATTATACATCAAGAAGCTCTTTATGCCAGGGAAAGCAGCAAGAAATTTGACGATGTCCTCAGAGATGTCACAAAAATGATGAATTACGTCATGGCTCATGCTCTGAATATTCAACAGTTTCAAGCACTTCTTGAGGAGTTTCAGGCACAGTATAATTGTTTACTTATGTATAATAATGTACGGTGGCTGAGCAGAGGACAAATCCTGGAGAGATTTGTAGCCTGCTTGGATGAAATTAGGCTGTTTATGAATGAAAAAGGACAGGAATATCCACAGCTCACTGATATGGCCTGGCTTACCAACCTCATGTTTTTTACAGATTTTACACTACACTTCAATGTACTGAACAAACAACTACAAAGTGTAGGGAAAACAGCAGAAAGGATGTTTTGTGATATTAAAATATTTGAGAGAAAACTGCAGGTTTTTGAAAGAGACCTTGAAAGTGGGCAACTGAAATATTTTCCAAATCTAAAAATGCATTTAGAAAATTCTACAATTGCAGACAAGCCTACAAGCCACCAGGAAATCTACAAGGAATTTTCTAGTATTGTAGCAGCTGCAAAGGTGAATTTTAATAACAGATTTTTACAGTTCCGTAAGATAGAGATAACCCTGTGTTTTCTTACTTCTCCAGATAAAGCCAAATTTGAAGAACTTGATCTTTCCTACTTACATTGGTTAGATTTAGAAAATCTGGAAATGGAGCTAGTGGAATTTCAAGAAAACTCTATCTGGAAAAATAAATTCTGTGGCCTGCGTGAAACACTTGAGAAGATAGAAGGGATGACAAAGGACAGTACAATTAGTTCTGAAAATGAAATCCTTAAAGTGTGGAATTCTCTGCCAGATAATTTTAAGTCAATGAAAACACTTGCAATTGCTCTCCTTACTTTGTTTGGATCATCTTATGCTTGTGAGCAGCTGTTTTCAGCTTTGAATTATATCAAATCTGACATCAGAAACAGACTAACGGATGACGTGAGTGCTGCATGTGTTGCTCTCAAACTTACAAAGTATGAGCCAAGGTTAGAAAAATTATCAGCATGCATACAACAGCAAAAATCACATTAATTGTTCAAAAGTATGCCAAATGCAAACTTTTATCTTCCAATAAAAAGTTGTTTGTATCATTGAAAACTCTGTTATTATGTTTTTCTTTTAAGATAAAAGATGTTAATAACAGATCATGCCAGACAAATCTTATTGCATTCTTTGACCAAGTGACAAAATTAGTGGATCAGAGGAATGCTGTGGATATAATTTACTTAGACTTCAGTAAGGCATTTGATAAAGTAGATCACAACCTACTACTTGATAAGATAGAAAAATGTGGGTTAGATGGCATCACCACAAGATGGATTCGTAGCTGGCTGACCGGCCATACTTAGTGTGTGGTCCTCAATGGAATGGCATCTACATGGAGGGAAGTGTGTAGTGGGGTGCCCCAGGGCTCTGTTCTGGGCCCAGTGCTCTTCAACATCTTCATCAACGATTTGGAGGGGATAGATGGGGAACTCATCAAATTTGCAGACGACACCAAGTTGGCAGGAATAGCCAACACTCCAGAAGACAGGCTTAAGATACAGGAGGATCTGGACAGACTTGAACACTGGGCGCTATCTAACAAAATGAAATTCAGTGGTGAAAAAAGTAAGGTTCTACATTTAGGCAAGAAAAACCAAATGCATAAGTATAGTTTAGGAGGTACTTGCTCAATAGTAGTAACTGTTAGAGGGATCTCGGAGTTCTAGTGGACAATCACTTAAATATGAGCCAGCAGTGTGCTGCAACTGCTAAAAAAGCCAACACAGTGCTAGGCTGCATTAACACAGGGATAGAATCAAGATCACGTGAAGTATTAATACCACTTTACAATGCCATGGTAAGGCCACACTTGGAATACTACATCCAGTTTTGGTCACCACAATGTAAAAAAGATGTTTAGACTCTAGAAAGAGTATAGAGAAAAGCAACAAAGATAATTAGGGGACTGGAGGCTAAAACATAAGGAACGGTTGCTGGAATTGGGTATGTCTAGTTTAATGAAGAGAAGGACGAGGGGGGACATGATAGCAGTGTTCTAATATCTCGGGCTGCCACAAAGAAGAGGGAGTCAAGCTATTTTTCAGAGGGCCTGAAGGCAGGAGAAGAAGCAATGGATGGAAACTAACCAAAGAGAAGCAACCTAGAACTAAGGAGAAACTTTGTGACAGAACAATGAACCAGTGAAACAACCTGCCTCCAGAAGTGGTGAATGCTCCAACACTGGAAGTTCTTAAGAGACTGGACAGCCATTTGTCTGAAATAGTATAGGGCAGTGATGGTGAACCTTTTAGAGACCGAGTGCCCAAACTGCAACCCAAAACCCACTTATGTATCGTCGGGTGCCAGGTGGGTGTGGCCCATTGGGTGGGCATGGCTGCGGTGGTAACCGCAAACGGTGGGACTAAAAAGTTCAATCAATCAGTTCCAACTTTGCGAGATCTTTTTTTTCCCATGAGAAATTGAAATTGATTGAACTTTTTTTTTTTTTTTTTTGTACATGGCAGCGGGGGCCTAAAGCGAAAAGGTTTTATAAAACCCAGCTGAAGGCCTAGAACTGGGGCGATAGCACGTATGCCCACAGAGAGGGCTCTGCATGCCACCTGTGGCACATGTGCCATAGGTTCGCCACCACGGGTATAAGGTTTCCTGCCTGAGCAGGGGGTTGGACTAGATGACCTCCAAGGTCCCTTCCAACAGCCATAAAATTTATAGCTTTGGCAATTTAGGCAACTTATTTCTACTCAGGTTGCCCGCCTCTACCACCCAGAAATATTTTGTTAACAACTTTCAATGTTATTGCCTAGTACAATTCTTCAGTTAAAAAATACTTTACAGTACTCCATGTTTTATTAATACATCTTGCAACTCAGTTTATCCTCCAGCTCTTAAGGTTGAACATTGAGGGTTTTAAAATAGATGGCACGTTTAAATTCAGAACACAACATATAATGTAACACAGCAGACAGATTTTTCTGTTCATCTTGGACAAAACACAATCCAAACCATTCTGAACTCTGCCATATGCCAAGTATCTCAAGGTTTTTTGTTGTATCATATGGGCAGGTGGCAGGAATAAAAATATGAAAACTAATCAAAAGGAAGTTGCCTCTGGAAAAGCTATTTTGGGGTTTTTTAAAAAGCTATGATCTGAATAAATGCAAATGAAATAGAATAAATGCAAATGAACAATTTGAGGAATCTGGAAGTCTTAAATATATGGTTTGTAAATTGTTCTCTACGTAGATAGACCAAGACATTAACTCTAAATGTTTCTATATAGTCCATCATGGATATGTTTAGAAAGTTATTTATCTATAGTGCTATTTGCTGTTGGTAGTGAATATTAGTTGGTTCTGAGTTCAGAGCATTCCCAAGACTCTCATCTCTTCTAAAGATCTTTGCTAGGTCTTCTGCATGGTCTACTCTTATCCCTCTAGTACTGTGTGTTAACCCCAGTTCTCAGCTGCCTTGTGTTTGAAGTACATCACACCCTGGTTCTATAGCATTTTTCAATTCCTGCCTATTGCCAGTCTTACCCTTTTGATTGCCACTAAAAAGCATTTGGAATGGCAATTTAATTTCAATTCTAATTTGCTACATAAAGAACAATTAACATTTCTACTTGCAATAAGTGCTTCATAGCAGACATCATAGGTTTTCACAGAGAAAAGTATATAATTTAACTAAAATAGTGTTTGTTCTTTGATTTCATATTCATTTTAATTATGCATGTCTGAATTGGTTAGATGAGTGGGATATACAAGGGATGGATGGACGCTTTCAGTTAATCTACAACGTTTCAACAGTTACTCCAATCATCATGCCTATAAGTGCAATAAATGTTTCACAAGTGACAACTAAAGGATAGTAATGTAAGCTAATCATTTCAATTAATCTTTTACATAGAAAAAGCATTGATCAGATTCACATTTGTGAATGTTAAAAAAAAACCACATTTCCACTTTTTATGGAGTACAGGTAGTCCTCAATTTATAACAGTTCATTTAATGACCACTCGAAGTTACAATGGCACTGAAAAAAAGGGACTTATGATCGTTTTTCACACTTACAACCATTGCAGCATCCCCATAGTTAGTGATCAAAATTCAGATGTCTTAGCAACTGGTTTATATTTATGACGGCTGCTATGTCCTGGAGTCATGTGATCCCCTTTTGACAAACCAAATCAATAGGGAAGCCGGATTCACTTAACAACCTTGGTTACTAAATTAACCAACTGTTAAGTGGTTCACTTAACAGTTGTGGCAAGAAAGGTCATTAAATGGAGCAAAACTCACTTAACAAATGTTTCACTTTGGAACAGAAATTTTGGGCTCAATTGTAATTGTAGGTCGAGGACTACCTGTAATTCAAAATTTGGGACTACTGCATACCTTGTAAAAGATGTGCAAAAGTAATTTATTGGTCCAGTTTTACAAAACATGAAGTTATGCTAGCATTGCCAAAAGAAATGTAGGCTAGTTATTTCTAGTCATACAAATATGAGAGAAAAATCTTACATATGATAAAAGAAAAATACATGGAAGCAGCTTTGAGTGCTTATTTATTTGAAGTTCACTAAATTGTACAATAAGGCAACACAGTTATCCTAATACTGATAAAGGCAGAATGTCCCTCCAGTGAAATATTTTTACAGATATGCAAAGTGAGATATGTACAAGTACTTATATTCTAAGAGATCAAAAAGAGAAAAGACTTTTCAAGTATGTCCCAACTTTCTATGTGTTCACAAGGAATCTAAAATATATATTAGTTCATTACACTATTAACTTATTAATTGGACTTCTAATTAGTGTGTGTGAAGTTAAATCGTGGATTTTGGAGTTAATGTATAAATTTGAGAACAGCAGACATTAATATTGTACTACATATTGAATACATATTGCCTAGATATTTTAAATTCATGCTGCACAACATATATAATCTACATCAATTTACATCAATTGCACAGAATAAAGGTGAAACTTTTATTTAAATAGTGCGAAATAAATTAAAACTACTTAAATATACTTTCTAACAACTTAGAAAATATATTTCCAAGGGCTTTAAGTCCATCTTCCAATTATACATTTCTATTCATCTTCTCCATTCCAATCTTGCATATGATAAATATTCACACTGTAATGTACGCCTATGGCCACCAGTCTGCAATCAGGTCTTTTCACTTTCCCATTACATACAATGTGTATGCAGTGCTACAATATTAAATGTCAAATCATTAAAATTCAAGACCCCAAACTTGGGAATTATACTTTATAATAATTTATTCATTTTCCTATTAACAAAACCTAATGAAAGCTGTTCAGTGGGGGAATAAGATTTTACACCTTCAGTGCAAAACTGCACAATGGCAATGGTAGCTACTTTTCCAAGAGGTCTTAAAATTTCAAATTTACATACTAAAAGTAATTAAAATCATAATAAGCTATCTTTGGTCAGCATCCTGTTCCTAAAGGAATCATTTAACAAAAACACTAGTTCTTGTCCCAATTGGATCTTTGCTTCAATAAATGCAATACAGCAGCAAATGCAACTATCCAAAACTGCATTTCCTTTAAATAAGCATTCTCCAGCATAAAAAGTTAAACCCTCCAACTATATAGTATTGATACCTGTGCTATTTACTTAATTGTCTTCCTTTCACGCTGCTGTGCTGATTACTGCTTTACTGAAAAATCCACTTGAAGTAATTACTACTATCAGAAAAGTAGAAATCCAGTTATCAGAAAACGTACCAGAGAAGAGATTTTGTCCAATACTAGCTTAGATAAATTGGTGCAAGGAAAGCTAGTAAAAGGTTTTGCAAGGAACTAGTGTGACTCTTTTTTCAAGGAAGATAGAAGATAACTACAAGCATGCACGCTAAAGCTGTACTGTCACTTTGACTATGCATGTGCTATAGTGACAGAACTACTAATTCACGTAATGGATGTGAAGAGTAGGAGGCAAAGAGAAAAAAAGTATCTTTTTTCTATTTCAACTCTAGCTTTTTTGGCTGAAATTTCACTTTCCAAGGCATCTCTGTAAAATCAGTATTTTAACACAATGTATTTTCAAAGCATAGTGTAACAGTCAACTATCATTTAGCATTCAATCAAGACACAAACTTCAGGGAAGCAGAGGGCCCAGGCTGAGCTCCACATGATGGGTGAGCCAAATGACTTCACAACTCTGATCACATTCCTCTGTGGGGCGCATTGGAGCGGCAAGATTTTTGAACTCATGCCTCATCTTAAAGCTTACAGTAACTTTTCCTTCTTCTTTCTGTGGAGTAACTTTGATGAATATCCCAACTTTGTTAGCCTTCCGGAAAGCTATAATGCTACAAAAGAGGAATAATAATAATAACAACAACAATAACAATGAAAACAACAACAATAATAATACTGAAATAGTCTGTTGTTCAAATAAGTAACTGCCAATTCAATTTCTTCCTGGATCTTGCAGAGTCCCTCAATTTTCAGGAGCAAATAATATCATCTCCCCCATCTTTTCATGATGAAAATCTTTCCATAATTGGAAGAAGACCTAGATGCAGTCCATATACTGTATCTTACTTTGATAGTTGATAGCTATAAAATCTATACAAATTTATATTACAAGAACAATCCTAGTAATACTCTCAACCTCATGAGCGTTTTTAGGATTGCTGAACATAATACAGGTAGTCCTCGACCTACGACCATAACTGAGCCCAAAATTTCTGTTGCTAAGTGAGACATTTGTTAAGTGAATTTTGCCCCATTTTATGATCTTTCTTGCCACATTTGTTAAGTGAATTGCTATAGTTGTTAACTTAGTGACGCGGTTATAAAATGAATCTGGCTTCCCCACTGACTTTGCTTGTCAGAAGGTGAACACATGACCTCAGGACATGCAATCGTCATAAGTATGAGTCAATTGCCAAGCAGCTGAATTTTGATCACGTAACCATGGAGATGCCGCAACTGTTGTAAGTGTGAAAAATGATTGTCATTTTTTTTCATTGCCACTGTAACTTTAAACGGTCACTAAATGAACTATTGAAAGTCGAGGACTACCTGTATACTTTCTCAAAGGAGAAAAAAACAAATCAATTTTTAGTGCAGATTAATTAACCAGAAATTGCTAGTTGTTTAAAAACAGTAATTGATTTTCAATGATTTGAGTCTTTTTTTATTATAACAATTTTAAAATTCACAGCACGTATAAAGGAAATTCAATTAGTTATTTCTCTTTTAGTTTCAATAGGTCAATTATTTGGGACGAGTACTTAGTATAGACTTGTAAAATTCAAAAGCATTGACACTTATGTAAATATATTGATGTATTCATTGTACCATGGCACCTTACTCCCAAAGATAAAAATGCTAAGTTTTTTCATAATTTCTCAAGCTGATTCTGTTTGACTTCATTTGCTACTTTAGAGAGAATTAAATTAATAATTGTCCAGGATAGTTATTGTAAGTAAATTGTGGGCGGGGGACACTAAACAGTTATATTACTCAAGAAATGTGCTACAAAACAAATGTGGACTTGGGTTAAAGAAAAGATCCATTTAGTCTGTCATCTTGCTTCCAACTATAACCACCCAAATGCCTTTGGGTTGCTCACAAAAAGGGCCTTAGTTTTAATGCTTGCTCTCTAGTAACCTCTATCAAAATACTACCTCCCTGGCAAGTAGTACCCAGTGGTACTCTATGTTTAAATCTGGAGATTTTTCGGCTGCATTGCCAATAGGTAGTGATGGATCTGTCCTCCATAAATGTATTTAATTCCTTTTGGAAGGTATCTAAACTAATGGCAAATGAAGGCTGCATCTGATCCTGATGTTTGCCAGAACTAAAATCACTGGTACAGTAGGTTCATCCTTTCTGCTGCACATGTCAGAATATGTATCAGATGGATGTAGAAAATTCCATTGGCACTTTATGAAATATATTCTTTGGTCTCTTTAGAATCTAGTGCTACTAGGAGAAACAATATTTTTTTTTTAATTTCCACCTAGAAAAAGTCAGGATAGCATGGCTTAATTTTCAACAGTTGGTAAATGCAAGTCTAAAGCTATGAAAGCAGACAGATAAACTTACTCAGGATCATCTTGGAAATCTTGAGATTCTGCCAAGTCATCATATTCTGCTGCTGCATCTTTGCCAGCCAAGATTAGTTCCTTGGAAGGAACCATCACCTGAAAAGAGACATAGACAAAAAAAGATTTCATAACAAATATGAAAACCTAGAAGATTAAGAACCACTGTAACTGCTAATGAAATTCGAACTACCATGGAAGCTTCTCCTATCCAAAAGCACTGGTATTTTTGTCACAAGATCTAATCCCCATGCTAATCATGGGTATTAAAAGCCTCCTCTCCTTTTTTTTAAATAACTGTGTTAAGGCAGAAAATCATTCTAAACCTGAAAAAAGGACTGTGCAGGTATTCACAATTCTTATATATTTTTAGCACAGTATCAGTATATACATTAGTTTATACATGTAAGATGAAAAGAAGCTACAGTACCTTTGCAGTACTATTAATATCCTCAGGATCATTTTCCTCACATTCTTTTAAGGTCACATGGGTAAGGCTTTCCACTGGATTGGTTAGAGTTAGAAGAACTTGACTTTCCTATGAATGACAGAAGTATATAAGAGACCAAGTAACACTCATGAAGGTTCTATATGATTCTAGATTGAGAACATTCATTTTTGCCTGTACGATGCCCTTTTAGGAAGTGCTAACCTCCTAAACACAACATGAACCATTATCCCATTCATTTTTCTAAACTACAAATATCCAATTCATATTGGAGGAAGTCACAATTCACTTCTAACCTCAAATTTAAGAGTAAAAGTTCCAGCAAGGATAGGTAAAAGAAGGAATCTGAGTCAAGGAATTACTATTTGAAGAAGCATAAGTATATGCCTAGTTAGCACTACATTAAGATTTCTGAGGGGGCTGTCTGGTTTTAATTTCTTATCTCTGGTTATATAAAAACAGTCCTATTTGATAGAAGGTGGCATCTCTTTCCATCAGAGTTGCTTTTATATTAGTAGATTCTTTCAAAAAAAAAAAAAACATGTACGTTGAGGGATTTTTTTCCCCCAGTGGGAGATTTCTATAAGGTGTTTGTGATAACAGCAGCACTGTATAGTTTAATTAATCTCCTTGTCCACTGAATGTTTCACTTATTTTTAATAAAGCAAATTTCCTTTCAAATTATAACTTGTAATCATGATTTAGCTTCCCAAAGGAAAGTAGGGGGGGCTGTTTTCCATAATTATACACCACAATGCTACAGAGGCCAAAGGGTAGCACCATTGTATTTTTTTTTCTCCCAATCTTTTTCTCTGCCGTTTACCAGAAGCCAAAGAGCTTGCAAGATTAGTGAAAAGGTATCAAGCAAAGGCATTTCCAGGAAGTCACAGGGTGACGATAAGAATTAGCAAGCCCTACCCTGATGCTAGGAAAGTGGGCCATGGCTTCTAAACCTAGAGGGCTTCTGGGAGAGAAGTTTGACATCTCCAAGTTTTCACCTTAAGGTTTGGCGTTATCACTATACCTAGTCCAGTGTTTCTCAACCTTGACAATTTTAAGGCATGTGGACTTCAACTCCCAGAATTCCACAGCCAGCATTGCTGGCTGTGGAATTCTGGGAGTTGAAGTCCACATGCCTTAAAATTGTCAAGGTTGAGAAACACTATACCTAGTCTTTCCTACATGAAAGAAAAGGGGAAATGCTTCAAGGTTTACAATTCTCAAAAGCAAAGTCTTAAACTTCTGTCATTATGTTGGCACATGTTACTTATGGACATCTTTTTCAATTGTTTCATCCTGATGGGCTTTTGAATCCAATTTAAAAACAGTGGATTGTGAAACCACGAGTTAGAGCCATGTCTTCACTGAACCAATGTTATTAAAAATAACATGTTAGTTTTCCAGGCCTCTGTCACATTTTAAACAAAAACAAAAGATTTAACAGCCACTCATATTCAGGCTTCACGAAGCTCTGAAGGTCCATCTTCAAAGAGGGTTAAAAGTAAACCATTACTAACCTTCATATAACGCAGATTAGGAATAGACATGATTCTCACTTCTGGGATGTAATTGCTATAAAAAAACACCAATAGGAAATATATGAATGGCATTGTCTCTAGCCTTTTTGCTACATTTTATAATTTTACATACCTCATTTTTCAATTATGCAGTTTTCAAATTATTCTGAACACTGAAACATTTTTAAAAACTAGCAAAAATATATAATTGGGAAACAAGTTTTTGTAAGGAGGTTATACTGTAATTTATAGATTCCAGTTTGTTTTTTTTTCATACAATACAGTAATTGGGCTTACTGTGAAGTTGCTTCCTCTATTCACAAAAAGATGGATCTCACAGGAGAGAATTAATTTCATTTCTTTCAACTAGTAGGCAGGACTAGAAGACATTTTCTCATCCCATGAAAGAAATACCCTCCCTTCAGTAGCAAGCGCTTATTTCAGCTGAAAATCAGAAGTCTGGTAGCACCTTTCCAGATTCACACATTTTATGACTTGTGAACTAGGATTCAAATTAGGATGAGGCAAGGGAGGGGGAAAACAGTTCATTTATGCAGGTTACATATTAGATGGATTACAGTGTTAATTGTAATGTTAAAAATCATTGTGTTCCTTGAAACCTTTTGATGTATGTGAGCTCAACTATTTCTCACTCAATTGTGCTATTAGAAGTTTTGGATTTACTTGTTTTCCAAATGGTAAGCATCTTCCTGTCCCTTCTGATTTTTCATTATCATAGATTTAACATGGCTCTCCTACAATTATTTCAGCATTGTAGTTTAACTTCTTTATGCTGTAACTCATTGTAATAATAAAAAAAGCTTGCCATTGACAGGAGCACATAGGAAGTGGAAAACCCATGTTGGATAGTTTGCAGCAGGGGTAGTCAACCTGGGCTCTTTTATGACTCGTGGACTTCAACTCCCAGAATTCCTGAGCCAGCTAAGCTGGCTCAGGAATTCTGGGAATTGAAGTCCACGAGTCATAAAAGAGCCCAGGTTAACTACCTCTGGTTTACAGGATAATAAACAAAATCAGCCACCGCTCTCTTAAACCTCTCTATCTTTCCCTATCCTGTAGAGTGGGATCGTTGGGTCCATCAATAAACACGTGCTTCTCTCATCGTGGGATATGGGGATTCTTCATTATTTCACACACTTATCTCGAAGTATAAGCAGCCCTCTCCTTGCTGATATAGATTCTTTATCTCTGATGCTGCCAGATGGCCCTTTCCTATGTCATCCTTTCCCCCCCTTTTCCATTAAGCATGAAAGAGATTGTGAATTACCAGCAACTGTTTCAGCATCGGGTACAACTAAGATCTGGCTTGCTCAGACAATAGGAGGTGCATGCTGGCTATAGCTATCAAGGCCTGCATGGGAAGATTATTTGGCTGTACTACAGAGGTGTTCAATACTAATACTGGTGCTTGCTTCCTCTGTTATGTTCCACTGCTTTGGAGACCAATTCTCCACAATGCAGTTCAATTTCTGAATGAGCAATGTCCTTCCCCCAGTCACTGATCCTGAGGTGGGATCTCTTTTCAGCACAGATCAGCTATGCTTGCCAGAATCACTTAGCTCAGTTACCCACACTTCATGGTGTCAGCATCAACACTTCGTTGTTTATTTATTAATTTATTTATTAAATTTATATGCCACCCACCTTGCTGATAAAGCGACTAAGCATGGCTTTTCCCAATTCCATTTTTTTTCTCAACCCTTACCGTAGAGCTGAAAGAAAAGTTGGCTTTTCCTAGAAATCAAGGCTAAAGACTGAAGGAAGTGATTTCCTCCATGGGATAGAAGTAATCTTATCTTCTGGCTAGGATAAGTAGAATAAATCTTACCTGTCAGTTCTTATCATGAATATGTAATACTAATTTTCAATCTGCCAGAGCAGAAACCCACTGAACTATCAGAAGCACACATACTTGAACTAAATGGCTATTACAGCCTTTTGTGAAAGAAAAACATAACACTTAACATAATGCTTAGCTGACTGCACTGCACTGCATTAATAAAACTGGAATTTAAAAAATATATTTTCACACATTTATTGTATCTATATTCATAAGGCTAAAATAGAAAATCTGCTATTAGCACATTAGTTTTCTACGTGCTGGAACTTGGACTGTGAGAAGCTTTATTTGCCAGAAGAAATTGTATACAGCAGATATAGATTTATCCCAACCATGAGAATTTGCTTCAAGTCTTTTGATTTCTTGTAGTCACTGTTTTCAAACTACTTACACAGCAGCCAATTGAATTTTGAATTTTATTGATGTGGGGTTGAACTCTGGTTTACTCAAATTGTGTTCACATTTCTACAAACAAAAGAAAAACAATAAAAAGTTTGCAAAGCTATGCTCAAGAATTATAAATACCACAGCAGAATCATTTTATTTTACTCAATTCACTAAACAGAATGTCAGGGCTGGACTGTATCCAAGAGTGGCTGTTGACAGTAGAATGGAAACTGCTCCTGGGATGGATTCCTCCTGAACTGAAGACTTAAGTAGATCTCAAATCTGCTGCAGAGAACCCAGTATTCTCCAGAATAGGAAGGAAGGAAGGAAGGAAGGAAGGAAGGAAGGAAGGAAGGAAGGAAGGAAGGAAGGAAGGAAGGAAGGAAGGAAGGAAGGAAGGAAGGAAGGAAGGGGCACGGGCAACAAACAAGGGCATTCATCCATATGAATATAAAGTATTTCCTTAACAATGGAACTAGCCTATAAAAATGCTGAAAGTTTTAATTTAGACATTCAAAAAAGTAACTTTCTGTTTCCTAAAAAGAACCTGCTCTATTATCAGCCCTAGCCCAAGTAAAAAAAAAAAAAACCCAGTCAAACTTCAGTTCTTTATTTGCATAATACTGTATAGACAGAATCTTGTCAGTTTAATCTTATGCTACTCTAACCTAACGGAGATACCCTGGGAAATTCTAGGGAGGGGCTATCCCAAATCTCTTCTTCTTTCCAGCTCCAAACTGTGCTTCCTGCGGTTCCACCCTTGGAATGTGGCCCCTCCTTCCTGGGAACCTGCTGTGTTATTTTAATCCACCACATCACCTCCCGCTTCACAGACACATTCCAACACAACTGTCAAGGTTTATTTAGTTCGGGATGTTGTTTCCTATAACAGCTAGCCACAAGCCTTTGGGAAGATGACATGGAAACATACCTTGCCTAGAAACTGATATAGATATAACCACCATGCAGAATATCTACAGATTACCTTCTGCATCTCTGACTATACAATGAGGCAGTATACTTTGTAAATGCATTTTACAGTGTTGAAACCCAAAGGTACAGTTATTCTGTATCACAAATTTATCCGATGTAACATTTAAACCTACATTCATTTTGACAATTCCACAAATAATTATACAAATTTATATTCTAAATGTATCTTTCAGGGTAAGGTTCTTGGAGCTTAGCCTTTTATTGGTCTTTCTTTAAGTCGTTAGTTCTCATATTCAAATAAGAAAAGAACGAATTCAACTCAATGATAATATGCTTGTAGTTGAAACAAAGCACTTAGCGTCTACTTCATTCAGTTTAATATTGAGCATGCATTGCCTGGAATTGTCACTATTCCACATTACTCCTTACCACTATTACCAGTAGCCACTGGAATAAACACATAGCATCTCTGTGACCTCACAAAGCAAAATAACTTTACAGTTGGGTTTCAACACTGTAAAATGCATTTATAAAGCACCCTGTCTCGTTATATAGTCAAAGAGAAGTAATATTTTCCTATTGAAGTAATACAAATTTATCGTAATCTAAGAATTCTCAAAACATGCATTCCCGTGTCAATTACATTCAAAATCAGCCAAGGGCCAAAGCTGAAAGAGTTACAGGAAAGAGAATTGGAACAATTCCAGGACAGGGAATTCTGGAATTTGCATATGATCTCTGATTTTGCCAAAAATGACAGTGTGATGGTAGTAGTTTTTCATAGTGATTACATACCCTGCATCGCAGTGAGCGTTTGATCAGAAGGTGCTTATGACGTGGATAAAGTTGAGAAGCACAAATGGGCTGAAAATCTGGCTGCAGGAGGCGCTGCTTTAAAGTTGTCACTATTCACAACATAGGAAAAGTTCAGAAAATTCACAATCTCAGTTAATGATTTTGAATAATAAGAACAAGCATTATTTGAATCAATCAGCTTGGACCAAAATGTGCCAAAGACAAGCTAAGCTATTACCTTCTGTTAGATTGACTGGCCTTGTGTAATAATCCTCAGGTAAAGGTTCTACCTCTTCCACAGCCTGAGCTGGTTCAATTTTTATCTCCTTGTGGTCTTCCCCTTCTTTCAGCCTGAGGCAAAAGGAATGGATCCATTGCTTTTGGAAGAAGCCATAAAAACCTGAGCAGTACTAAATTGCTGGTTCAAATGAAGCAGTATAGAGCTGCTAGAGACTAATTCTTTACTTAAATTCAGCACTTCTTGCAGCACTCAACCTAATTTAAGTTTTATATTTTATCACTGAATTAATAGCAAATTTTAGAGGTAAGAACGTGAGCTATAGGGGCTTTTTTTAATATAAAATGACACTTTAGACAAGATTGCAGGTACAGCTTAGATGTCCACACACTGGTATTGAAAGTACAACATTTAACTAATCAGCTAAGAAGGAAAATCCAGAATTACCCTTGACTCTGAGGCTATTTCCATTTTATATGATTGGTATTAAGCAATGTAACTTTATCAATATGAAAGAACTGATACTCACGAAAGTCCAGTAAGGGCACTTATGGGGGCCCCAGGCCTCTGACGTTGGAGCCTGGTTCCAAGGCCATATTTATCCTACAAAAGAGATACAGGTAATCCTTGACTTTTGACTGGTTGCTTAACAACCCTTCAAAGTAACGACACTGAAAAAAGTTACTTGTGACCCATCCTTGAAGATACGATTGCCACACCATCCCCATAGTGACGCATTTCAGGCGCTTGGCAATCAGCTCACTTTTACAATTAGTTTGCCGTGTCCCACAGCCACATCACACTTTGCTCCTTTTTTGCCATTTTCCAGCAAAATTGTGCCCATTGGATAAAGTGGTTTCACTTTTACAACCACCTTTACAACCACTGTTTTGCTTTGACTAACAGTGACTCATTCAACGACTGTCGTAAAAACAGTCATAAAAATGAGTCTGATCATGTGGTGCCTCAACTTACTGCCACAATTACTTAAAACCAAAATTCTGGTCCCAACTGTGGTTGTAAGTCAAGGATTACCTGTCAACAGCAAGAGGTGAGTTGGTAAACGAAAACATACCATCTTGGGGTTTGGGGCAGCTTAAAAACAAGATGTATAAATTACAAGAAAAGCAAATTTGGAAGTTTTCTCTGTTTAGATAAAGTTTTGATAGTTTGACTAACAAAAAGCAAACATACGAAAGCAAAAAAGGAACAAGCCCTTCAATCACTGTTTATTCTACTTAAAAGTGATTTAGTGCTTTCATTTAAATTTCACTTGATGATTAAGTCTTCTAGCTCGGAACATAAATATTTATTTATTTATTTATTTATTTATTTATTTAATTTATTTGCTGCCTATCTCGTATCCAATGACTCTGGGCAACTTACAACATAGTTTACATTCTAGGAGGGAAAGTACTTTTGTGGCCAAATGCTCCCTACTGCAATAGACCTAAAGAAAATATAGAAATGACAAATATATAATGACTATAATGGTATGAAATCATACCATTATACCATACTTGAGTTAACAACAGTTAGCTGAAGTACTTGCCAACAAATTGATTGACATTCTGAGTTGTGACAGCAGATATTAAAACTGAAGGTTGTTAATTTCTAAGGAAAAGTAGGCTAAATTCAAAAGTGTTCCTCTGCATGCAGAAAACAAGTGAAACAGTTCTTTTCCCATTAGTGCCAGACCAATGCACTAAAAAGTGAAATCTAAAATGAAACTAAATTTCTCCATGTTCAAGAGGTCATGCAAATTCTCAGAGAAGTATAGTAATTGCTATACTTCACTGAATCCAATGTTAAAAGCACAATTTATATGGCAATTTTATTGATCAGGTGGTTTGAATTATTTCACTTATCTCCCTGCCACTCTTAATAGTTAGGTAAGATAACCTTTATTGTCATTTTTTTTTACTGTGGGCACAACGGCACACATCAAAAATGAAATTTAGTTGCCGGCTCTCAAAGTGAAACACATACACGACACACACCTAAACATACTATACACAACATATGTATAGACCCACACCCCTACATATACATAACAAAGTTGTTATCTTCAAAGTAAGGATAGAAGGTTTAGCCCTATACCATAAGTAAAATTGCTAAATACTTTGTGATATTATTTTGCCTCTCTAGCTCACCTATTATTTTGTAAAGATTTGGTGGGTGGCTTATTGTTTTAGTTTAACGGAAAGAAAAATATATTTCATTTATCTGGCATATCAGATAAAATCTATATTAAAGTTTTTATACAGCAATGCTATTTAAAAGGACATGGTTTTTAACAGGGAAAGAAATATTTAAGTGGCAAAATTGTGGACAGGGAGTATTGTATTTATAGGCAATCTATAGTTCAAGAGGACTAAAATATGTCAAAGAATCATAGACAGCGGAAGCCCACAACATACTTGTCCAGGCTAATCCTACCAACTGTTCTTAATAATGCTCAAGTTCATCAAAGATTGTGAACACACAGTACATTTATAGGGTCTTACATGGAACAATTTTGGTTTTACTACAGAGTCCACCAAGTTACATGATTACTAAACTTAAATATGTATTAATTCATTCAGACTGAATGTGAACTTTCCAATAACAGCATGTTCGTTACCCAAATGCAATAAAGACAATTTGACTAGCTGAATCCAGCTAAAAGAACCAGCTAAAGGAACTTACCACTACATGTATAGTATGTTGCTGTGGAGAGCCCCCAAATTAGCAGCAGGTAGCAACGGAGATAAAAAAAAAATGCACCAATAAAGACAAAAGCAATGCACAGAGCAAGCAGGTTATACAGTTATCCAAAAGGCAGCAAGCATATGCAAAATTATTTAGCCAAGAAAAACATAAGCTTTTCATATGACACTGAATGCATAGCTGAAAATTAAAACAAAATACATATTTAAATCTAAATATCTCACAGACATTACATTACATTACATTTGTGCCAACTTTGAGCTAAATCACTGTATACAGAATAACAATAATCCAGCATTTGAAAGCTGAAGGTATTGGGGCCCATTTCAAAATCTGAACCTTCACTATAAAATACAAGCCATATTTCAAATATAGGTAGTCCTCGACTTACGATCACAATTCAGCCCAAAGTTTCTATTGCTAAGCAAGAAAGCTAAGTAAATTTTATGACCTTTCTTGCCACAGTTGTTAAGTGAATCACTGCAGTTGTTATGTGAATTTGGCTTCCCCATTGACTTTGTGTGTCAAAAGGGAGCAAAAGGGAATCACGTGACTCCAGAACACTGCAACTGTCATAAATATGAGTCAATTGTCAAGTGTCTGAATTTTGATCGCAAGACCATGGGAACGGTACAACGGTCATAAGTGTGAAAATTGTCATAAGTCACTTTTTTCAGTGCCGTTATAAGGTCAAACAATCACTAAATGAATTGTTGTAAGTCGAAGAGTACCTGTATGTAGATGGTATCTCTTAATAAAATACAAGCTATGAAAACTTCAGATAAGTTCCATTTATCATTTTTTAAATTTTCTTGCTTCAATTTTAGAAACGTCAGCTACAACGACTATTATGTATCACTGTACTTTAGAATGTTATATCTGGTTCTCACTGTGTGACCTCAACAACTTGTGTGCTGTTTTCCTAGCTTACCGAAAAAGCCAGTGGCATGTATGGTCGCCGTCGAACTAATTTTTTACGATCTCTTTCCATCTTCTCCTTCTGAGCCAACTGTTGATAATATTCCACCAGTTTATTAATCTATATAAAAAGAAACATTTTAAGCTATTCATGTGAAGGGACATTCTTTATAATAATTTTTTTTCCTGAATTCACTCTGAACATTCTTTTAAAAAAACCTTTCACTGCATTTACAAATCTTCACATAGTGGAGTTTAAAATTTACTCTCTCTCTTCCTAGTAACTCTTTCTCCCCCTATTTATTTTATTTATAGAATATTTTATGTTTAATTTGTGCCACTATTCCTACATATTTACCCATCTGAATGGACTTTACTGTTCTTTAGTAGGGGCCAAACTCAGAGAAATGGAACAAATCAATACATTCCTGATTTATTTCACTTTCATATTTCCTAGCAAATTAATTTATACCTGAATATGTTTCTTTTCGTTACCTTTTGTGTATAAGGATTTTCAGGTTCCTGCCAACCTCCACTGGCTGCAATGTAACAAAAAATAACATGAACGATTAAGAAGGGAATCATGAAACACATGTTCTAGTCAAAAATAAACTATACAGAAAGTAACTGCCTGCTTCTCTCCTCTGCTAAATGCATCACTGGCCTAATACTGTATATATGTGATTTAGAATGACATAATACTGTGTGCTTCATCACTGTATGAGTCAGAAAGCAGCTTGTGTTTCTTATCTAGTAACTGAAAGTTGGTTAATGTGAACATAGGGACATAAAATATCAATGACAGATCAGCAAATCAAACACAGGTGATAAAAATCTATTTTGTACCTTCCATTTTTCCCTTGCAAATTTCCCTATTGCCAGGGAATTTTGTTGTTACAATTAGCACACAGTGAAAAAAGACAAGGAAAATCAGCAGATAGAAAAAAGTATTCCACATATAGTAGATAACAACAGTGTACAATGTTACAGAACGAAACATTACAAAACATCCCACTTTCTTATATGCATCTTCAAAACATATCTGGGGGGAAAGGGGAGAAGGCACAGACATCTATGCAGATAACAAGGGGGATTCTGCTGAGCTGATAATATTTTCTGCACATAGGGGAGACCAGCCCTCCCTGAAAGAAAAGTGGAAGGCAGACAAATTCTTTTTTCCTTCAAATTTCTTGCCATTAATAAGGGTTCCCATTCTTATATGTCTTATGGTTAGGAATATCTAGCATCTGCTAATTTTGGAACTATTAGAAAGGACCAGCATAAGAGGCTGTACTGCTGAAATGAGTGAAATTACGTCCATTGTTCTTCTTTTGCTTTGTTCTACTAATCATCAGCTTCCTTTTGCACAACTATTATGGAAAGAAGCAATTCTCTTACAAAATTCAGGAATATTTCATTCAGAAGAAAAGATATCGAAGAAGATTTGTAGGTATAGTGTGAAGAGTGTGGACAAAACAGTTCTTTGTTGTCTCTCATAAAACTAGAGCCTGGTTCATCTGCTAATAATGAATAGTGGGGAAATTAGGACAAAAAAGCATGCAGTTTAATTATGGAGTTTACTTCTTCATATATAATGACACTAATTTAGATGTGTTGAAAAAGGAATTAAAAGAATTAATGATGACTCAGGCTCTTAAACCAATTAGTCATGCTGGATAGTGCTACCTCTAAATGTCCGTTGCAAAGAAAAATATTTTCCAATTGGTGCAAAAATTGGACAAAATAAACTTTTGATCCAATCCAGCAAAATGTTTAAATACCTTCAATAGGAATTATTTCAACAACATACAGTATTTGGGGACCCTCATTATCAACTGAAGTGACATAGCACATATTTATAGAGCACATTTCTTTTTGTGGCAAAGGCAAAGACCCACTAGTCACTGAACTTAATTCCATTCAAATTCTGTAAATCCTTCTATGTGTACTACCAGTTTTCAGCATAATACAACAACGTTCCCCTTTTGACCAATAACTGTGCATAATATGTAGAGTTTTTTCTCCCATTTATTTTAGATATGACACTCACCAACTGATTTATCTGCCATGCCAACATCCCTGGATGTCCAGCGGCAAAATCCACAGGCCAGATAATAAGCTTTTTTCATTGTAGTCTTAGCAGGATCATCAGGCAACGGAGCAGGAATGCTTGTTGCTCGGGTAGAAAGCGTATGCATACAGCAAGGGCAATCAAAACAGTTAGCACACCTAAGCAAGAAGACACCAGTATTAGCTTTTTAAGTGAATTTGCCTTCTTAGAGTGACAATGTTCATTATTATGTAAACCATATTGATTTCTTGAAATTAAAAGCTGTGTATAAATTGGAGTCAAGGTTCTTGATTTATAAATGTACATATAATTCAAAAAATTCCTCCTAACAATAAATTTAAAATAGTATTTTTGGCTCAGAAAAACCAACAGGAAGCTAATTCATGTTATCTTTTCTTTTATAAAAAGACAAAAATGTTGTCATGCATAACCCTTCAGATTTTGTCATAATCAATCCGTTAAGGTTCTATACAGGTAGTCCTCGACTTACAACAGTTTTCAGTGCTGCTGTAACTTCTGAAGTTGCAACAGCACTGAAAAAAGTGATTGATGGTCGTTTTTCACACTTAAAACCATTGTAGCATCCCCATGGTCACATGATCAAAATTCAGACGGTTGTAGTGTCTTTTGTAATCTTCCGACAAGCAAAGTCAATGGGGAAGTCAGATTCACTTAACCATGTGGTAACTGTGTTACTAACTTAACAACTGCAGTGATTCACTTAACAACTGGCAAGAAAGGTGATAAAATGAGGCAAACCCCCGTCACAAATGTCTCAGACACAGAAATTTTGGGTTCAGTTACGGTCATAAATCGAGGACTACCTGTACTATTAAATTCAAAGTGGGTATCAAATTAATAAGTATGTGGTCAAATAGAAAGAGATTATGAAAAACAAAAATATTTTTTTTAGGAAAAGAAAGAGGGGAGACTGTAGCCTTACCTATTTTTTTTCAGCTTGGCTTCAGCTGAAGGCATATTCTCCAAACAGCTGGGACAATAGTGAGAATCCACCTATAGAATAATTTTTAAAAGTCATCTTTCTTCACCACTACACTTGAACTAGTGCTGCTTCTTATCTTTGTAACAAAAAAGACATTTTGATTTTTAGGGGCTGGGATAGGACAATATCCAAAAGACTGATTTATAAACCACAAAACCTTAAATTTGATTATTGTTATTTCAGATTTTGCTCTCAAAGATCATATAGGCATTTTAATTGTAGAGGTATGATCCAAATGCCAGAAAAACTTTGTAAGACATCTGCCTCTCCTGGCTAGTTTCCAAATATATACCTTGATGCTTGTGGAGAAAATTTATCTCATTTTAAAATGAAATATTAAAATGTAACATCAAATGTCATGCTCAGGAGGCATAAGGTGATTCAGAAGGGCTGACAATGCAGCATTTCTTTCTGTTCTAGATATTATTATTGAGAGGAAATTTAGATCTGTACCAGAAAAATAGTCAGCGTTGTCATTAAAGTACAATCCCCAGGATTATTAATGACAATTAAAATTGGCATTATAACTGGGATGAAAAACAAACTTAAAATCAGCAGTGATTCCATGAATTTTCTAGCAGAGATTTTTCTCATTCTCAACTATTAATATTTTGAACAGAAGATGCCAAAGATCAAATTTGGAATTTGTCCTGCCACGAACCAATTCTTAAAATTTATTTCCCTATCCAACTGGGTTCCAATAGCTTGTCGCCTTTTTTAATTATTCTTTAGCTTTTTTTCAAAACTGAACAACTGAAAAATAAGTAATTCAAAAACTAATACTTCAGATTAAGACCACTTAATCATAATGACTAAGATATTTCTTGTTCAGTGCTTATGGATTGTTTTAAAATGGAAATTGGTTCACATTCAAAAACATACTACAGTAATAGAGTAAGATTAAAAAGTAAAGTATTCTTTTCATTCATGTCCATACACAACAAAATGGATTAAAAAACAGGTGTTTACAATTGCCAAAATTAAGTGCAGGAGGTAGGGTCTCATCTTCGGATATTTCTAGAATGTTGGGAGCAGCAGAGTTCCTTTACTATTTTGTGTTTAACCAATGGAACACTTGTTTAAATTTGGGAGCCCCTATAAAATTTGAACAAAAGCTGCATCTTTTTATTGGTGCACTACTTCTCAGAAGATCAAAAGATTAATTCTAAATTTTAACTGAATAATATTGTCTAAGAAATTGATTTTCAGTATTACAAAATACGGTACTGAATTCCAAGGGCCCCCCTAGCTTTGCAAACTGGACAGCACATCTGGAACTCTTGAGAAAATGTCATGGGAATGACCACACAAAAATCAATGTACTAGACAGAAACGGGTGAGTTTGTTCCTTGGCACACTCTTTTTTTAGTCTTTCAGGATACTCTATCGTAACTGTGTATTACTACCCTTTTCTGGACATGCGGACATACTTCAAAGCAAAACACTGGAGTCCTCAATCATTTTCAGCTTTTAAGAATGCTTCCAGAATATATCTGGGGACTAGAAGCAGTCTTTGGAATACTGTTTGTGCTTTGCAGCAACCTAGTGTCCCATTTTTTTTAAAAAAGATCTAAAATTAAAATAAAGTGGGACATTTTTTTCTGCTGCATATCATAAAATATATCCAAGAATGTTGCAACTTACAGGTTCCAAACTATGAATCAAGCTTGTAGTCCATTCATAATTGCCCACTGTGTTTTGCAAATACAAGCTTCATACAGTTAGATAGGTAATAGTACCTGATTACAACATTATCACCTAGAATCCAATTGGACAGAAGCAGGCAGGCAGACATGCCATAAATATATAAATGTAGGGAGGGGGAGAATAAGGATGTGGTTTAAACAGATTAAAGGATGCAACAGTAACCAACTGGGAAGCACAACATATTATGTCTGAACAAGGAGTTATGGCAATTTACATAGGAAAAGTAACAACTTCATGGGAAGAAGTGTTATTTCAAATACGTATGCTAAAGAATTCCCCCGCCTTCCTATAAATCTCTTCCTACCCAGAACTATTCCCTTTCCACCTAGCCAAGGCAGCACAAAAGGACAGTGACAAAGGGACAATCAAGGCTCTGTTCTCGAGCTCCAAATCAGAACAACGGGCAATGTGGCACACATCCCTCAGCCAATTGGATGAAGGGGGACTAACGAGTGGCAGCAGGGTTAGCCAATCCACACCGCTGGCGTGCGATCAAACACCCCAGGTTCTATAACACAGCAATTTACCTCATGCGAGACACACTCGAGAGAACGGAGCTCACTGCAGTAGCGGCAGAAATACAGCTGCGAAAGCGGAATGCGGATCTCCTTTTCGCCGCGCACCAGGTAGGAGACGCGGTCTGACTGAAGAAGAGAAGCCATCTTGGGAGAAGAGAGCCGGCCCAGCTCTTCAGCGCCCCGCCGCACCCAACTACCCGGATTTCCGCCACGTGACCCGGAAACATTAGGTCTCATGCATGGGCCGCGGTAACTACGTATCGTCACTTCCGCCAGTTCTCTAAAGTGAGATCAGACAGGAGTGTAAAACACAGGAAAACATAGAAATGGAAAGTTGAGATTCTGTTGGGCTTTCGGTATCAACGCATTGAGAATTAGTTGCCAAATTTAAAATTAGCGCGTCTTATGGCAATTCGATACATTTATCTTCTCCAGTCTGTATACCAGGCACCTTCCAGGAGTAGGGAATCTTGGCTCTTTTATGACTTGTGGATTTCAACTCCCAGAATTTCTGAGTCAGCATGGCTGGTTCAGGAATTCTGGGTGTTGAAGTCCACAAATTATAAAAGAGCCAAGATTCCCTACCCCTGCTTAGACTAATTCCCATTTTCCGACTGATGGTTGATTGTAATCCATTCCTCCGGGAGGCAAAGGAAATTAGGCGAGGTTGGTTGCAGTTTTGGAAACTGATCAAATACATTGCAGATCGCTCTGAAATTGAAGATTGGCATTGTTATTATTTTGGAATCAGGAGAGAGCAACAGACTAAATGAGTTGCCTCTTTGAAAACTGTAAAGTATGTGGAACTAACAATCAATGCGTTTTGGGGGGGGAGGGGGGAGGGAGAAGTCTGATCAAGCTGACAGTAATGCTTTTTCCAAAATGTTCTATCCTCAGCAAGCATTATTTAGAAGAAGTGGGATGCTAATGTTTTTTTTCTTAATATACTTATGTAAACCTTGCAGTTTGCTGAGGCTGGTGATATTTCTATCTCAGTTAATGCATTTACCAATAGATGTTGATGGTAATTTGGAATGTTGACTACAGGTAGTCCTTGACTTACGACAGTTCATTTAGTGACCATTCAAAGTTACAGTGTCACTGAAAAAAGTGATTTATGACCATTTTTCAGTTACCTTTGTAGCATCCCCATGATCATGTGATCAAAATTCAGATGTTTGGCAACTGATTCATGCTTATGAGCATTGCTGTGTCCCAAAGTCATGTAATTTTGCAACCTTTTGGCAAGCAATGGGAAGTCAGATTCACTTAACCAGATTACTAACTTATCAATTGCAGTGATTCACTTAACAACTGTGACAAGAAAGGTCGTAAAATGGGGCAAAACTCACTTAACAAATGTCTTACTCAACAACAGAAATTTGGGGCTCAATTGTAGTCGTAAGCCAAGGACTACTTGTATTCTTATTTTCTTGTGACAGAGCTCTTAAAAACTATGAGTCCACAGTTCTAAGAGAATACTTTAAGTTAATATCAGGCTCCTGCCAGAGGATATCTATATTTGTTAAACAGTTTTATAGCAATAAAATGTATAGCTGTTTTGATCATTGCTTGCCTTATTCTGTCATCAATTACTAGATCAAGCTGTGATGCAATCTTGTTTCAAATTATATAGGAGAGAAGGCTGAGCAAATGGAAATTTAAAAGGCAATATTGTTGCCTTTTTCATTACACAGTGGTTAGATGAATATATTGCCTTCATACTATTTACCTGACAAGTCACATTAAACGTCTGTAGCATGTCTATTATAGTCTTTGACTTTTATAATTGGAACTCATGCTTTCAAAAAGGAAGAAAGAAATAAAAAGTGAGTTTATTATTGAAGTTGTGCTTCAAACCAATTCAAAAGTGTTGTTTTTTCCTCCAAAAAAAGAAGATAACTTCTAAGAGCAACTTCTAACAGAAACTGATTTATTTGATTGCAAAATAATCATTGTGTAACAGTGCTAAAGTAAATATTGCAATTTCATATTTTCAAACAGATTTACTATATTTTAGTTATTATAACTATTATAACTAACTGTTAGAAGAAAATATAGATAGCTCAGGGATAAACTGTGGTGTTCTTGGTGCTCTCTGAGCTCAGTTGTGTGATTGCAGAGATAGGTTACATCAATGCTAGTGAATGTGGCATTTGGTGCCTGTTTATATACAGTAGCTTGTGCCAGTACCTTATATTCAGTATACACCCCCACTAATATTGGCAGAAGCTACTGTATATAAATAGAGAGCAAAGCCCACTTCACTAGCACTGATGATGTTTTCTAGGGTAATAAAATATCTGCTACCACATAAAGTCAGAGAGCATTAATGACTACATTGGTCTCCATTTGACTATATTTCCAACTCTTTTACCTTTCTTTCAGCAACTTCACATAGGCAATTTTCACCTACAGCTTGAACAGTTACAGACTCTTCTATATTTATGGACTGCAGTATTGGTGTTACAGAGGACCTGAAAGCTGTACAATCCAGAAATGTTTCAGTTTCTGAAAGGGACTCTAGAGCTCAAGGACAGCTACATTGTCATTACTATTTATTTCTTGCAAATTCCACTCACAGTCTTCACAGTTTCACTTACATACATGGTACATATAGAAGGCACAATTTCTTCTATCACAAATGAAATTAACAATAGTATGCTCTTTGAAGATCAGTTCAGCTGAAGAATGTGCATCTCATTTCTAATTTATAAAGGATGCGCTTTGGCCATCTAAAGTGAACCAGATATGCACCTGTGGATATTGATCTAGGAACTGCCAAATTAAGAAATTTAGGCTTCGGTGTCATAGGAAAAAATATTTTTAATACAGTTGCTTTATTTTACAAGGAAAACAATGTAAATTATTTTTGTTCTGGTTTTTTTTTTTTTTTTTTTTTTTGCCACCTATAAAGAAAAGCCAGCATAGGAACACATTATCTTCCTTCCTACATGATAGACTAAGCTACAGAAAAGTGCATGAGTTTGATCAGAAAACAAAACACTCTCTCCTGAAAAGAATATGTGCAAAAGTATCAGCTAAGCATATAATCCAGAGAGGCTGCATTTGGTGTTATCCTCTTAAATAATATCTGCTGTATGTCAAATCACAAATGATACTGAATTGCACCTACTTTTCCTTTTTTTTCCCCTTTTTCTATTTATTTATTTATTTGTCACACCTGCAGACTAACTGCTCTTCCCCAAATTTGTATGTAGTAAGCAGGGCTGTTGAAAACTGAACTGTTACCATTGTTCCATAATTACTTTTTTTCCTGATAAAAGTGCATATGCACTATCATTTCATCATGAGAAGCAGCCCAAAATCGAAGAATATTCTTGGACCTTTTAACCTCATGGAACAGTGGAATATTCCAAGAGAAAGTAGCTGTTATGGTGGAATATTCCATAGGAAAGAAAGCAAGTCAGTTTCCCACAATGGAATCAGTTTTGTTTTGTTTTGGTTTTGTTTTTTTTGACATCGTGAATGATGCCTCTGTGGTATTTCAGCAAAATAAACAGTTTAAGATTATAGACACATTCTAGCAAAGTGCTCAGTGTTGATTTTTATCTTCTGGGAGCCTAAAGTAGAATTACTTCAGCTTCATTCATGTTCCAAAGATTTATTCAGAACAATTCTCTTAAGGGTAACTGGGAATCAATTCAATATATCTCCTTTTTGTTGACGTAACTAATGGTTTCCATATGACTTGATTTCTGAGAAAAACAGAGGATACATTACTTTCCTGAGTTTTAATTGTTTTTGCCAGCAGTCTGAACCAGTAATTGTTCGTCAGTATTCTAGGCATTTAAATAGTATTTATCCTTTTCTAATCCATTCATATTTGTTACAAATTTAAAATCTATTATGAGAAACAGTGATGTAATTTATTTGTCTCATACTGGGACTAAATGAAAAGCTGCCTTCCTTAGTCTTTTGGGATTATGAAACTAATATAGAAATGAAAACTTTAAAGGCGTCTTTTGAAGAAGCTGAATAAAAATCATGATTATTCTGAAAGACTATACTATAGTCTTGGAAATAAGACAAGCATCATATTCCACTGCCTGTATGATACAGACTCAGAGAGTGGAGGCTGGACAGAATATCTTCTACCCAACCACTTATTGATTTATTTACAACAAACCACATAATACTGGTTGTCAATCTTTCCTGAATCAGCTACTCACTCATTGTTTCTGGAATTCATTAAGCAAGTTCCTCTCTACAAAGACTCAGAGCTGGAGTGGGTGGAGCATGTTTTTCTAGATGAATTCAGAAGTTCTTTAAACTTCTTTGTCTCGGGCAAATGGGCATCATCTCAGTACGAGTTCTGATCAGACAAAGTTTGGCTCAGGGTGAAAGTTGGGTGCTGCTATTTCTGCTTTTGGCTTTAATCCCTGTAGGAAAAGTCATTTTTCTTGGGAGGAAGAACCATTGGCAGAGAATCTAGAAAAGTGTTTCTGTGATCATTCTAGCCATGGAAATACTGTAGCAGTTCCCAGGCTGTTTAAAGGCTGTTCTAAGGTAACAGAAGCAGCAAAATATTGCAGCTAGACTGGGAACTATCTCCCACCTACCCCCATGTAAGGGAATGCCACTTAAGAACACCTGCCATTTAAGAAACCCTTACTGCTATACAGGGAACTGAGGTTTTGAATAAATCATGAATAGCGACAGCATAATCTTTTTAGATTTTTTTCTTTTTTTTTCTTTTGCTTTTGCTTTCTGGATATCAAACAAAATGCTTTGGAAAGCATGAATCACTATAATTCATCTGCAGTTCTAGGTTCCAGGAAACTACAAGCTTCTTCTTTCAGTTGTTCCATTTTATGCATGCATTTTCATAGAGCCTTGGCAGTGAGAGGAGGAGGCTTTTCATTATGATAAGTTGCTAAATAACCTGCAAATAAAGAACCTGTAATTCTTTCATTATTCTTTCATGTGTTGTAGGAGTGATTCATAACATTACAAGCAGATGACAGACCTCAGTCTTAAAATCAACCACACACACTCAGATTCCAGGGCCTCTGCGTGTAGTGTACAATTCAATACAGATCATTGCTTTTGTATGGAAAAAAAACTTAAAGGAAATCAACCCTGACTGTCCTTTGGAAGGACAGATACTGAAGCTGAAACTCAAATACTTTGGCCCCCTAATGAGAAGAGAGGACTCATTGGAAAAGTCCCTGATGTTGGGAAAGGCTGAAGGCAGAAGGAAAGGATGAGATGATTAGAGATAGTATCCTTGATTCAATGAACATGAATTTGGGCAAACTCCAGGAGAGAATGGATGATAGGAGAACCTGGCATGCTATGGTCCATGGGGTCGTGAAGAGTCAGACACAACTTAGCAATTGAAAAACAATGGAAAAAACACATATATCTTTGAAAGTATGGTAATGAGACAAATATGTCATGTGGCGGATGGTGAATTCTCCAACTTATATAAGCAAAGTTGTCACTGGATGTTAAATGTGTACATGCATTGTGAAACAATCTTCTGTTTGGTCAAAGCAATTCAATAGAAATCAATAAATTGGCTTTGAGGAAATTTGCAACAAGATTCTCAAGATGTATTTTTTTTTAAAAAAATGTATTAAACATGTTTAGTTATTGTTTTTCCTTGAAATGCTTCCCATACCATGCTTTGAGCTGTCTTTGATATGAGAAGCAATACACAAATTAACTGAATAAGTATCTAAATAAAAACTATTTTTTAACATTTATTGTTTTGAATTGATAAAAGTTACATTAGAGAAGGTCATAGGAAATAATGACTGGCCATGCAGAGAGAGAGAAAATGAAGCAGAATGCAAAATATTATTTTAATAAATAATAATTTAGTATTATTTGAGCCTCCCCAACACATAGATTATTAAACAAATCAACCCAGAGTTTCTACCAGAGGCCCAAATGATGAGGCTCAAATTGTTCTACTTCTGACACATTAGAATAGAATAGAGTTGGAAGGCACCTTATAGATCATCTAGTCCAACCCCATACTCAGGCAGGAGACCCTATACCATTTCAGACAAATGGCTTTCCAGTCTCTTCTTAAAGACCTCCAGTGATAAAGCCCCTACAACTTCTGAAGGCAAGCTGTTCCACTGGTTAATTGTTCTCACTGTTAGAAAGTTTCTCCTTAATTCCAGGTTGCTTCTCTCCCTGGTTAGTTTCCACCCATTGTTTCTTGAGGAAATTAATTGAGGACATGACTCTCTGGGAAAGGTGGAAGTAAGGGGAAAATGGAAGGCCACCACAAGGTGGGTGGATTCAGTTACAGTAGTGATGGGTGCCCTGTTAGGAGACCTGAAAAACATTAGGGAAAGATCGTCATAGAGAACATCTATCTAGGAGTCGACACCAACTTGGGGACACATCACCAATCACACACACACACACCCCTCCCTCCCTCCCTTTGGCACTAAACGCCTGTCGAGGCATCTTCACGCCTTTATCCACCTCTAGGTGGCCCGGTGGGCAATGAGAACAAACGAAGCCGGACGGACGAGAGCAATTCGAGTCTTGGAATTCATTCTTCTTGCTCTTGAGAGTAGAAGGGAAGCTCCGGGGCTACGAACGGCTGCCTGCCAGCCAGCCTGCGAGCCAAGCTAAACAGAACTATCCTATTACTTTTACGCCGGACGAGAAAAACCCGTCTGCTGCTGCGCTTTATACGCCTTTCTTGAGAAGGGAAGCATCACGTCGGGCGGCGGACGGTTCCAGCGCCCGGAAACTCGCCTCTTCCTGCCTGAACGCAAGACGACCTTCCCGCTGATGGGCGCGAAGGGCGTCCTGCCCCTTTGACCCGCGCCTCATGATGATTTTTTTTTCGAAGGAGGGGGCGGGCGCGGAGGCGGGAAGGGCCGGTTCGTGAGCGCCAGGGTTGCTTGAACGTTTTGCCCTCTAAGTCCGCGGGGCTTCCTCTCAGGAAAGCGGATGCAGCCCACGGACGGCTTATCTCCAGCAACGAACTAACTTGGGTAAGTAAGTCAGTAGGTAGCACTGCTCCCCCCCCTCCCCCGTTTTCATTCGCATTGCGGTGCAGTTTCAGGGTTAAGCAGGAACTGGTGTCGGAATGGTAGTTCGTAGCCATTAAGGGAAAACTCCAGTAAATTTTGGACGACTTGGTGGATCCTTTAAAAAAAAAAAAACCACACGATTTTTTTATTTTTTTTTACAGCTTTCACACTTCCTTTCCCGCTTGCACGATCGCCCTTTCTCTTCCACTGGACTCATTGCTCTATTTTTCGGTCCCAGGGGAAACTCCACGTTGTTTAAAAAAAAAAAAAAAGTCCATCTTTGGTCCGCTTTTCAGAAGTTCCCTTTTCTGGTTTGAACGTTTTCAGTCAGCTTTCCCAGATAGGGTTGTCTTGCCAGTAATTTCATTTGGCTCCCATAAAGAAGCTTTCTATTATATTTCCAGGAGCGTTTTTTTTTTTCTAGGTGAACCTTTGAGACATACAAGCCTTGAGGCATAAAGGTGAAACGATATGTTGATGCAGTCTCTGGATGCTGGATTATGGCTGCTTTTTGTTTCCTCTTTTTAAAGAAGTTCTTGGTGAGACTTTTATCTGAAAGCCCTTATTGCACGCTACAAATATATCCAGTTATTTTTGCTTAGCTGTCTTAGCCAGTTCTGCGCTGTGGGGTTTCTTTCTCTTCGTAGCACCTTGGCTGTGGGATGACTGAAAATTCTTGTGGTTCGGGAGGCATTGTACGAGGAGAGCTGTGTTAGCATAAATCAGGAGGAGTCTGATAGCAATTTTTCTGACTAACAAATTTTATTAAAGACATACACTTTTGAGAGCTGCAGTGACTAGACAATTTTTCTGACTAAATTTTTTTTAAAGACATACACGTTTGAGAGCTGCAGTGACTAGAAGGATGAGAAGGGAGGGGAAGATAGGTTGATTATGCAGATTACTTTATCAATTTAGATGTCTTTTGTTATATTAAGTACCTATGGTAATGTGTTAAAACATTGTATTCAATGAGGCCTTTTGAGAAAGCCTTAAACCTTGTATGTAAGCTCAATCATTTCAAAGATGCTGTTAAAGCCTCTTTTTTTCAAAAGAGTCACTTTGAGATCCACAGTAGAGGGTTTGAGAGGTTGAATCACTCTGAAATTTCTTTGTCCTTGTTTTGAGTCTGATGTCAAACTTGTGCCCATTTGTTCTTTTGTCCAAAGTTTATCCTGTTTGTCCTAAGTACAAACTTGTCATTGCTGGAAGAGCATGACAAGTATCACATAAGATGTAATGGCTCTTCTAATCTTGCGTGTGCCTGGGCCTGTATTGGTGCTGTTGGAGGACAAATATTGATTTGACAAAATAAAATTTGTAGAAAATTTATAGAAAACATGCTATAAAATTCTTTATGTAGTTCAAAAAGATAAAGGCTTTTGACTTTTGACTGCCCACTATGGATTCTTTTGCAGTCTCGGTTATTCTTTTCTACAGTCAGAATAAGTTTCCAGGGATTGCTATGGTGGTAATCATACGGAGAAAATATTTATTTTGTGAAGTTTGATAATCACTGAGAAGAAGCCCCTTAAGGTCCTTTCTCACTTGGACCTTTATGATAGCACTGTGTAGAGGTTGTCCTTGTGATTGGAGAAAGTAAGGAATGGGTCCCTATCCATTAGTTTAAGACAGGCTAATGAACAAATAGCAATTAGTTCCTGTTAAATGTCGCGTTGGCATTGACATTTTTTTTTTTTGTCTAGAATTGCTAGAGAAAGAGACATGTTTCTAATTGCTTCATTATTATGATGCTTGGCAGCAATCTGATTCTAATTTCCTACTGGAAATTTCCAGTATGAGTTTGTTTCCCTTTCTTCCGTGCTGCCTCTTTCTAAGATATAGTGGACTACTTCAGACAATCCCTGAACTGGGCAACCGTGCCTGCCTGTGTCAAAGCAAGCAAGGATAGCATAATCGGCTCTGAAGAAAGAGGTGAATCAAACAAATAGCAGAGATGGGCCAGCAGTAATTTCATAAACAAGGTCACAACACTTTCTCTCATGAAGGCAGATCTTTTTAGAACAAAAATGCATCTTATATTTAATGCAGTGTGTGTATCTGTGCATGTACATGTATATCCATATTTGTTATATAATATGTAGGTATGCCAAACAGATGTCCTCCAGATGTTGGACTTCATCTCTCAGAATTCCCCACTCAACAAGGCCATTTCTAAGAATTCTGGGAAATTAAATCCATTAAATCCAGCTATAACTTTTATAATCCTCTCCCACATTTTTTCTATTCAATTAACAAAATACCTTTGATGGGTTGTTTTTCTTGAATTTTTAATTTTGCAGTTCCAATATTTTTTAGCTCTGGATTATATTCATTTACCCTTCACTAAATTTCAGCAGCAACTCAGGAGGATGGTAGTTTTCTCCCTCCAACTGGATATTCTTAGCTTCTTTAGAAGTTTATCATATCAGAATATCATGAATAACATGGCAATTGGCATGAATGGGGTTGCAAAGAGTTTAAGAGGCAGTTCCCACAAGGACAGATTGAAGATCATCTATCGCTTGAAGTGATATGATAAATATCACTCATATATTTAAAGGACCGTCACAATGAAGATAAGCGACCTGATGTTCTGTTGCTCTTAGGCATGAGACCCAAAGTAATGTCTTCTTGGCAATAAATGAAAGGGAAAATAAGTCCTCAGATGAAATTTTTACAAAAATCATCAGCTGCTCTACAGTAGAACATTACCCTTGTGAGGTAGGAAACCTTTCTCTGTTAGAGGAGTATTAAAGAAATTACAGTGCTACAATGGTAGAATTTCTACTACTTCAAAAAATGGGTTTATGTTACTATTGAGCATCAGTGCTGCTGTGTCTCTATGATTCTATTAGGAGTAGACTTAAATCTGATCTTGAATCTGATCTTACTGCTAGTCTATGGATATAAGGGCTAAAGAACTCCAAGCAGTCATTAGATGAAGCAAAGAAATGTAGACATTCCTGTTTGCTGTCATCAATTTATTGTTTGGATTTTTGCAGTTCTGTTGTGAGAGCCCTGTACCTATATAATTGTGGTTCTAATGACTGGTTGCCAAGTTGTCACTAGATAGAGAAAAACCTATCCTAAATTAACTAATTTTTTTTTTTACTATTTTACCTTTTTTTTTTTTTTTAACTATATCATCCTGTCTCCAGTCTTTCCTTTTGAGAGAAGGTTGTTGAGAAAATGCTTGCCCAGCAGCTCCAGGGATTTCTGAATGAAATGGATTATCTGGATCCTTTTTAGTTAGAGTTCAGGACTGGATATGGGATGGAAAGGGCCTTTTTGATGATCTCTATCCTTGCTATACTCTACTTGACCTCTCAGCGACCTTCTATATCATTGACCCTGGTAGGCTTCGGAGCAGCTTCGGGGACTGTGCTATCCTAGTTCACTTCCTTCCTCTGTGTTCAGGCTCAGTTGGTGTTGATAGGAAGCGAGAGATCTAGCTCTTGTCCCCTGCTTTGCGGGGCCCTACAGGGCTTGGCACTTTCTCGGCTTCTGTTTAATATCTGCATGAAGCCGCTGGGTGAGATCATCTGCCACCCTGGGCTGAGATATCATCAATATGCTGATAACATCCTTCTATGTCTTGGCCCATGGTGAGTTGACTGATGCCATGGCTTCCCTCTCGCAATGCTTGGAGACTGGATGGGGAGCAACAGACTGAAACTGAACCCTGGCAAAACCAAATGGCTCTGGGTTTGGGGTTCTTCTGTCCATGAACAATTGCCATCTCTGGTCTTAGATGGGTGGCACCATCCCAGACAGATCCAGTGTGTATTCTGGGGATTCTCCTGGATTCACGACTCCTGTTTGAGGAACAGGTGGCATTCATAGCCAGGAGGGCCTTTGTGCAACTGTGAGTTATGTACCAGTTATGCCATTTCCTGGATGAACAATCGCTGCTCATAGTAGTCATTCCTTTGCAAAGTATCTGGAAACTTCAATTGGTTCAAAGTGCAGTGGTTTGTATGGTTTTGTGCAGGCTTAGATGTGCACATGTGTCCTCTCTCCTCTGGGAGCTGAATTGGCTGTTTCCAGGTCCAATTAAGAGGCTGATTGCCACTTTTAAAGCCCTGCCTGGCTTGAGACCAGGTTATTTGAAGGCCCATCTTTTCCCGGTCACATCTACCCAATCCACCAGAACATGGAGGCAGGGAATGCTACAGGTCTCCTCTCCTAAGGTGGTATATCTGCTGGGACCAAGAAGGGCCTTCTCCATGGTGCCTCCCTACCTGTGCAACATCATCCCTGAAGAGATAAGATTGTCCCCCACTTTAACACTCTTTTACAAGACTGTGTTTTGTCAAGAGGCTTGGGAAGCCCAGAATGGAATGGAGCCCATCAAGTGGCTTATTTGATTGATGTTGCCAGGGTAGTGTGCGGGAGAGAGGGGGGTATTGCTTTTTATTGTTTGTATATTGGATTTTTATCTTTGTAAGCTGCCCAGAGTCCTGAGAGTGATTTGGACAGTCATATAAATTTTCTTAAATAAGAAATAAATTGCCACTTAGTGTTGCGCCTTGCTGGTTGCTACTATCAACTTACCCACTTTCCCAATTCTGAGTAATTTTGTAATTATAACTGAACACATGTGCACCCCCTTTTCAAATCCTAGCAATGGGCACAAAGGTGCTCTAGAAATACACATATGTACAAAAGATTAGGTAGCAAGGCTTCCATATTCTCTTTTCACCTGCATGGACTTTGTAGAGAAGCTTGGATTCAAATTAAGTTTATTTCCAGGGTGACTTTTGACAAATTCATAGAAAACAGTGTGCAGACTGCAAAAAATATAAATCTAAGCAACAAATCAAGCATAACTGCCTTTGCATGTTAATAGCCGTGCATTCATAGCTGTGTATTCCTAACAGTTGTTAAAATGATTTTGTTAAATCACAACAAATGGGGAGATGGTTGTTAATATGGTCAATTAATAGAATTTTGAGATGTGATTAAATTGCTCCTTATTAAATATGAGAAATCAAAGTAGGATGTTTATTCATTTTTCGATTTGCTTGCAGGCTTCTTACAAAATGCCTATGTTTTAACAAGTCATCTCTCTGAGGCATGAAGATGGGTTAGCTGGCCTTTGAATCCACCCAAACTTTGATGTAACAATGTTATCTTTGATCTTTATTACTTAAGAAAATCTTTATCCTGACTCCAGCTTAACCTGCTCATTCTGACGTCAAAGTCACAACAGGCTTCTGCAAAGTCTGGAGGAGAAATTGCAAAAGTGGTGTCAAATTAGTCAGTTTAGAGCAGTGGTTCTCAACCTTTCTAATGCCTTCCCCATGTTGTGGTGACCCCCAACCACTTATACATCACCGGGTGCCAGGGGCGTGGCCAAAGAAAAGGGGAAAAAATGGCAGACAGCCTTGTTTGGCGACCCCCATGAAATAGTCGTTCGACCCCAAATGGGGTCCCGACCCACAGGTTGAGAACCACTGGTTTAGAGTTAAAAAGTGGGGGGAGGGGGTTATAGGAATTTTTATTCAGGCCTCCTTTCATATCTGTTAAATCAATCACATCTCAATCAAAAATTATTTATTGTATGCCTTTTGTTGGATTTATGGGCTGATCAGATTTAAATCCATTTAAATTGATAGAAGATACCAGTGCAAAGTAAAGCAAAACGTTAAATATTAAATTAATCATGTAGCATGAAGCTGTCCATCGTATATTTCTTTTCTACAGCATAAGTGTGCAGGATCTTGACATGGATCAGGATTACCATGAACGAGGAGAGAAGTTTCAGAAAGGGAGAGAAGCTCCTCTTAGCAAAAGTGCCTGTTGAGGATACAGGGGATGGGGAAACAACTGATAAAACGTGCATCACAGCACAAACCAGGTGATTTAAATCTTTGCTTGAAAAGGGGGTTGCAAAGGCAAGATGAGCAGGTACTTGCAACGTGATGTCACAACACATCTTTCTCCATTTTTGGGTCATAATTTTTTAGAGGACATTTACACTTGTGTAAAGCAGCACTTGTTGCTTTATTTGTGAAGTCAATGCAGATCCAAATATTTGAGAGTAGGATCCTATAATCCTATCTATATTATCGTGCAATGAGTAAAAACTCTGAATAGATATCTGTAGGAATACAGCATGAATTCAACTAGTTCATTTATAAATTATTTCTGACATGGAAAACAATGCCCAAGATTCAGAGCCTAAGTCATTATTATAATGGATGAGCAAATTAGATCACATAAAACTAATTCTTGTTTGACAAGAGGTTGTTCCCAGTAATGACTGCACTGATGCTTTTTATTGGAAACTGAGCCGATTATATTTGTGTTCCCTCATATTCTATGAAAAAGGAATTCAACTTTAACATAACTGTACCAGAAAATTCTTCATCAGAAATATGAGTCAGCTAGAGGAAAAAAATATCCTCTATAAGTAGGAGATAAAAAAATAGGGTTGCTGAAATTTCAACCCAAATCTCATCCCATGTACAAGCCAGGGAGATTTTTATTCATGAACTGCCATTCTAACATATGTGGTTAGGAAGACTACAATTGTAGTTACCTAGGAAATTGAAGAAAACATCCTGGCAGCTGACAATGACAAATTTCTATATTGTTGACAAGAAAATGACATGTATGTGTGTTTGAGATCAATGAAAGGGTTTGGGTGTTTGTTTTGCTGTTCAGAATGTTGGGTCTGGCCTTACACAGATAAACCAGATATTACAAAGATATGCCACCCTGATCTAGTGTCAATCCTTCTAGGTGAAACATGACTAAATGAGCTAATTCTACTTTATTGTAAGGCTACATTAATAGAATCTTGCAAATCTGAAGATACAAATCTCTTTCCACCACTTTCAACTGCTTGATCCATGGGTGGGAGGGGATTTCCTTCCTGAATTTCTCCTTCTGAACATTAAGGCACTGGGACTCCCTCCTCTTTTCTCTGAATGTTTCCTAGACAGCTCTCTTCCCCTTGTCCCTCAGGGTGATTCTCACATACTATTGCATCTAGTTAGGAGTAGTGTCACAGTTTACAAACCTAGAGTAGCAAAGCCAATTTTCTGTAGGGTGACCAATAGGAAGGGCTAGTATTGTTTCTGCTTTTGATAACACAACGATTGAATGTTCTGAAATGCTTCTTATTCATGGATCTCTTCAAGATGACCACCCTTTCTGTGCCTCTCAATCCTGTTTAGGACAAAATTTCCAGATCTATCCAAATATTGAGATGATGTGGGCATAGTCATGGCTCTATTTATCTGAGTCAAGGAGTCACATAAAACTGCTGATCACTAGTTTGCTCTTTGTAGCACAGATGAGCACAGAGAGTTGCCAGCCAATCAGAACTCAATTGTCATCTTTTCAAGCTGGATAATAGCGGAGTGCATGGCCTTTGTTTCAGTGGATCATGGCTAAAAATATCCCTCCTCCCCACTGCAAGCAAAAAAAAAAAAAAAAACGATGCAAAGAATGATGTATATGTATTTCTGTGCATGTATTTGTAAACATTCATTCCTTGCTTTGCAAAAAAGTTGGAAGAGAAACTATACAAGAAGGGATAGATTTTGGAAGCTTTCCAGTTCCTTTACTAATAGAGTCTATAGGACGCGCCTGTATTTTTTTCTGCAGAACAAAATAATGTACTGTGCCTGTGTACAGCTGGGTATAGTTCAGGGGTAGGCAACCTTGGCTCTTTTATGACTCGTGGACTTCAACTCCCATGGCTGGCTCGGGAATTCTGGGAGTTGAAGTCCACGAGTCATAAAAGAGCCAAGGTTGCCTACCCCTGGTATAGTTGAAGGCTGCACAAGCTTTGATCTGGATCACATGACCAGGAGGAAGAAAGGTGGGATCAGAGTGGAGCAATCATTTTTCCCCTGTTTTTTTTTTTTTCCCCCTCCATATCTCCTTGCTGGATCTGACTCGTTTTTAAACCCATGCTTTCCCCCCCCCCCTACTGATTTCTTTCTCTTTGGCAGAAACACTCAGAGTCATAGTGATCTTGTTGATGAGCAAACAAAGAGTTGAGCCCTTTTACGTGTCTTATTTCTGATGTTTCATTTAGTTAGAAAGAATAAACATTTAAAATGTCTTCATAACTATCAAAACCTTCCTACAAAGAATGATCAAACTTCACCACGTCCCAAATGCCAAATGCCGGCATGTACTTGTCAGGTTTAGTCCAAGAACGACATAACACAATCCAATTAAAATTCAATTCTTTACTTGTAGACCACGTAGACAGAATCTTTCCAGACTAAATCTATATACTACTCTAACCTAACAACTATACTCTGGCAGTTTCTAGAGAGTGGCTATCCCAAATCTCTTTCTCTTCTCACAATCCAACTGTGGACTGTGCTGTCACTTGTCTCACCCACCCATCCTCCCTTGGAATGTGCTCCATCATCCCTGGGAAATTGCTGCTTCACTGTGGTCCATCACATCGCCTTGCCCATCATAATACTTAGGGTTCTTCTCCTAAATATAGCAGTATGCTATTCTAGTGGGATTCCAAATCTGAGATTCTCCGTCAGGTGCAAGATAGAAATACACTGAAGTTTTTTTAAAAAAAATAGCTTTTTTAATAGCATTACTATAACTTGGGTTACTGGCAATGCCATTACTTCCACCTATAAGTTTCCAGTTACAGTGTCATTTGATAGTAAGGAACTTATTTCACCTCACTCTCAGAATTGCACCTTCATCTGATGCAATAGGATCAGAATATCAAATTAATTACTCTAATCTAAACCCGTTTTCCTTGATCTGCTATCCTCCAAATGTGTTGGATTTGTAACTCCAAGAATTGCCAAGCCAGCCTAGCCTTTGGAGGCATCTGAAGTCTACTAATACACTAATAGGGACATATCCAATGCTGGAAATTTGCTGCATTTTTTAATGATTTTTTAAATTGTTGAATCATTTTAAAATTCAAGCTTCAAGATTTCTCTTATCCAATTCTTGCTAGTAGAGTGATATGAAAAGTTTGGCTTTGAAAAAATTAACACAAGGGGATGAAAATTATTGCTAAGCTCTCTATCTCCTGTCTAGTCTTTTATATGTTGTATTAACATTAATTGATGTAAACTATATATTATGGCAACTCCCAGCTCTCATGCAGCCTTGAGGCAACTCAGCAGTACTTCATTATAAGTATCAAATTAATCTCTGAAGTACAATAAGAAAGTATTATTTGACATTAATGGTGAGGAATGTACTTATCGGGTGAATAAGTCCTTCTTTACTCTGATCCCCTAAGCAATTATCTATTACCACTTTTCTTATGTTCTTTAAATTTATTTTTATCCAGTCTTTATTATTTTTATAAATAACTCAAAGCAGTCAGCATACATGACATTCCTTCTTTCTCCTGTTTTTCCAACCACAACCCTGTTAAGCCTTTCCTGAAGGCATTATTGTTAAAACAGCTGTCTCTTCTCTACTTAGTTACAAAGCAGTGTGTGGACTGAAAGGGCAGTGATCCTCCACATCAGATTATAAAACCAAAGGCTAATTAAAGTAATAATTACATATAGTAAATACTTTTACAACATAGTTTATTGAAGGGTATCAGAATATATGGTTTTCCACTCCTCCAAAGAGCCTCCTGTTGAAAAGAATATTTTGTAGTGTTTTAGAACAGGTAGTCCTCGATTTACAACCACAATTGAGCCCAAAATTTCTGTTGCTAACTAGACATTTATTAAGAGAATGTTGACTCATTTTAGGACCTTTCTTGCCACAGTTAAGTGAATCACTGCAGTTATAAATGTAGTAACACAGTTGTTAAGTGAATCCAACTTCTCTAGTGGCTTTGTTTGTCAGAAGGTTGCAAAAAGCTGATCACCTGACCCTGGGACGCTGTAATCACCATAAATATGAATCAATTTCCAAGCATCTGAATTTTGATCACCTGGCCATGGGGATGCTGCGACAGTCATAAGTCTGAAAAATGGTCATAAGTCACTTTATTCAGTGCCGTTGTAACTCTGAACAGCCTAAATAAACTATTGTAAGTCAAGGACTGCCTGTGTACAGAGTCGAGAAACCATTTGGTGTAGTGATTAAGGCATCAGGCTAGAAACTAGGGGACTGTGAATTCTAGGTGTGCCTTAGGAATGAAGGCAGTTCAGTCACCTTGGACCAGTCACTTTCTTTCAGCCCTAAGAAGGAAGCAATGGCAAACACTTCTGAAAAACTTTGCCAAGAAAACTTCTTGGATTTGTCCAAGCAATCTCTGAGAATTGGACATAATTGAATGGAAGAAAATAAGTGTATAAACAGTAACCCAACTTTAAAAGCTGCTTCCCTGTCATTCTGTCACATATCCTACCATTCTACACAAACGGTTGCTAGCTTCCATGAAAAGAGAAAAATGTGGACATTCTGATATATCCATTTTATCTTACAACGCACAAATGGATTTCTTTGTTTATTTAGCAAATCAAATAGCAAATTACATCACATTCTATATGATGTAAGGGCAAGTCTCTGTCCTCAAAGTGATCTATCTCAGTATTTCTCAACTTGGCAAGTTGAAGACGTCTGAACTTCCAATTCCCAGAATTCTGGGAGTTGAAGTCCGGACATCTTCAACTTGCCAAGCTTGAGAAATACTGAATTCTATTCCATTAAGCTCGTATAACCTTGCTGGCACAAACTGGATATTTCTACTTTTAAAGATTTAATTCTATAAACACTTAGTTTACATCTTACTGTATGTAAAATATCTTAAAAAATGCTCTACTCTGCTTAAAAGAAATTCCAGTACTGCTATAGAGAAAAGACTCAGTGAGGGAGATGGGCAGTTAAGACATTTGATAAATAAATGTATGCTTATTTGAGCTGTTCTTTCCATGAATTAATGTACTACACCTTGAACTGAACCACCATGGTCAATGGTGAGGATTGCTGGTTGTTGCAGTTCAGCAGTCTCTGGAGGACCATATTAACCCTAAATGTTGTTGGGTTTTTTTGCTTTGTTTCCTGTCTATTTGATAACTTTTCTTCCCTTCTTCTTGCTTTAGAGAAGAACTCAGGAAGATGATGGGTAACTCGGAGAGCATGGAATCTACCCAACTCACCCTTCCAAAGCATATTCTGGACATTTGGGCCATTATCTTAATCATCCTGGGCACTATTGTCATCATGACTTTACTAGTATTGTGCCCAGCAACAACGGTGATTATTTATAGGGTCTGGACACATCCTATGCACCATAATGGTGCTGAGTGAGATTGGGCCTCTGTGTCACTGTTTGGACTCTGCTTTTGAGGAACACAGGCTAAATGCAACAGGAAAAGCAGCCAATTTATCTGGCAGTTTTCAAGATTAGTCCTGAGTCCTGAGCAGGCATTGCTAAATTGTCAGCAAGGATATGGTAGCAACACATCTGCTGTCAACATGCGATAAGAATGCTACAGCTCACAAAAAAATATCTTCAAGCCTGCTTATCTATTTGGCCGATGTCCACAGAACATTACATCCTGGACTTTATCCCCACTTGTGGAATCAGCTAAACTGCTACAGAATTCCAGATCATTCCAGTTTTGGTTTCTGGTGTGAGTCTTCATGTTTACGTAGCAAACTATTCCAAAGGAACAAGGAGATGACAGAATCAAAGTGCTGAAAAGGACACTTTAGTAAAATTTAAATAGGGGCTACTTTGCCTAAGCAACTTGATGATCCAAACAATCTTCATTCCACACAAATCAGATGAGATGGAGAGCTTGAGGTCTTAGCTGATACATTTGTGGTCCTTCTTTTCTCCCGGCACCCTCTGTTTCAAGCAGCAGCAGCTAAAGGGTATTAAAAGGGAGAAATGAGAAGTCAGCAGATAAGTGACTGGTGGAAATCATATTTGGTATCTAGTGCAGTTGAACAGTACATTCATAATGGGAGGTTTATTTTAAAGAAATTGAATGAACATAATATAGAGAAAGCGAAGGGCGAGGCTTAGATTTTGTAAAAAATATTTTACAAAAGGAAAATTAAAAACTTCATTTGTGAAACTAGATTTTATGATAGGAAGGTCTATCTCAAAAAATATTTTACAGTCATTGTGCTATACAAATGGTATTATGATGGAGTTTTTTTATTATTATTTTAGGAGATTGATTCCGGTCATCAAACCTTTTAAAATATGTTCTCTTTTTAGTAATTGGCTTCTTAGAACAGTGGTTCTCAACCTGTGGGTCGGGACCCCATTTGGGGTCGAATGACCATTTCATGGGGGTCGCCAAACAACGCAGTCTGCCATTTTTTCCCCTTTTCCTTAGCTGTGCTACTCCCTTTTATTCTATTGGCTTTTGAAAGCCAATAGATAGACTCTCTTGAATAGAGTCTAATTCTATTGGCTTTCAAAAGCCAATAGGAATTGTCCAGGCTGTCTCTGCCCTGCTGAGCCCGCCAAAAGTCCCATTCTGCAAACGGTGCTGCAAGTTGTCTGCAGCAAAGATGAGCTGTCTGGAAGTTTCCACCCCTCCCTGCTGAGCAACTACTAAAAATGTAAGTAAAAGAGGGCCAGGGGTGGGAGGTGGGAGGCCAGCGGGTGCAGGGAGGGTTGCTGGCATGCATGGGGCCCGGCGGGTGTCTTACCTCCCTTGGGCTGGGCCAGCTGGTGGCCCAGCCGGTAGTCGGCCTGCGCTGTCTCTGCCGCTTGCCAGCTACACCTCGGCCGGCGCAGGGGGCGGCACCATGCATGCGCAGTGCTCCCGGGCAGGGAAAGTCCTCGACTTACAACCAGTTGGGTAGTCCTTGACTTACGACCTGTTGGGGGTCGCGGCATTAAAAAGGTTGAGAACCACTGTCTTAGAAGGACCACAATAGCTTCCTCAGTTTGATGGTTGGAACAAAATCATTCAGATTTCTTGGGAACAGCCAAACTATACATTTCATTTATCTGGGTGTGCATTTTCAATGACTAGTCAATTTAATGGCCCTTCCCTCCCCCCCCCCATAGTTACTACTGGTATCAGGAATGAGCACATTCGAGTCTCACTTGTTTCCCATTCCTTTGCACAATAGAGCATGGAGTCTCTCATCCAGATGGGTTGTTAGACTTCTAAGATCTACAGCGAACAGAAACATTTAGCAGAGATTTTTATTCATGTGTTAAAGGAAATATTTTTGTAGGTGAAAAATACTAATACTGTAGTGTTTAAGAAATGACACAATCAGTATTCATATACATATCAACTGACACCGAATTTATTTCCAGTCAGTATATCCTGAGAAAATGGTTATATTAAATTACAGTGTTGTACAATGTCATGTAATAAACTGTTATTGGAGCCTGTCTCTGAATTTTGATGTTTGAATATTGATTTCCTTCTTCCTGTTTGGCCTTGAAATATCTTGCAGTATTCTAGTATTTTATTGTGTAACTTCATGTCATTCTAGTCCTCCTTTATCTGTTTGGTCAAGCTTCAAAACACTCAAATGACGCTAAGATGCAAACTTATCGCTAATTGTCCTTGAAGCAGGAAATATATATACCGTATGTAAGCCCAAAATGTTGTTAAATGCCAAGGGAAAACAGATGCTGCTAGGGAAAAATTCACCAGTAATTGGTGGACACTTGTGATTAGAATCTTGCAAGGGTACAAGAGTTTAGGTTTAGTTGGAAAGGAAGAAACAAGCGTACGGCAATATTAGATAGAGGCTAGAATTACAGAAAATACAAAACCTGATATCTGAGTCTTTGAAACTCTGAGATCATGTATGTTTTGTACAGGATGAGGTTTTGAATCCATAGCTGCCATGACACTGTCTTAGGGTCAATTTGTAGCATTTTCTCATATAGTCTAGAGGTTAGATGTGGTATGAGCTGCGGAAATGGATAGAAACCCTCAATAGTGAGATGAGTTGGCCTTTAGCCTAGGAGAAAGAGTTAGAAGATGTTTTATTTACTACATCCTGTTTCCTGCACAGTGAAGCCTAGGTGCGGAGTATAATTCAAAGGAATTAAATATATATTTAATACAAAAGCTAGCTTAACTTGTATTGCATGCACAACTGGTTTGCTCTCAAAATGGAGGGATGAACTTTTCTTATTCTGCTATATAATGATGGGCTCTGATTTCCAAGTGGAAATGATAACATACAGTGCAAAAACAGATTGTGTTATGATTTATGTCTCACACAATGCTTACCAACTGTGCACCTGAGGGCTAGAAGCCTGGCTATACTGAAAAAGGTCAACCAAGCATAAATCTAAGATGCCTTTAATCTTGGTGATTTTGAAGGACTGTTCATTTTGTGAATTTAAAGAAGAGGAGCAGAGAGGCACCAGTTAGGTGAGGATCATAAGAAGAGCCACTGAAGCATGTCAGTGATTGAAGGGCATTTAATTATAAGTAAAAATACAGTAAACAAAACAATAAATGAGAAATCAAAACATATCTAAGACTACGCTATTCCCACCGAGTAATTGGAAATAAGATAGGAAGTACAAGTCTATTTGAGAAGATTTCTGGGATGGTCTTACCAGTTTCTTCCTTTTCCCTTCACAACACACTTAGTGGCAAGGGCCCTGTTTGGAGGGGGTAAAAATTTAATTGATAAGCTTCATGCTAAGAATTATATTAAACAATAAGGACATTGAAATTAGTACAGGAACATAACAGTTATGCCTCTGATATTGTTAGAAGTTGTGCTTTCATTTATTTATTCTTGCCTTTCTGTAAATCACCACTGAATTCAGGTTTTTCCTGTAGGATTTTTTTTTTAAAAGGAAAGAAAAATTGTTGAAGATCAGACCCATGCTTAAAACAAGAGTCACGATTTCAGAAAATAATACACAAGATACCTCATATCTTGTACTACATTTGATCTTAGCTACCTTTTCTCACTACATGTATGCTGCCATGGAACCCTCACAGTTTTTATTCATCTTTGTCTCCATTTTGAGCATTTCTCAGACAGTGATGGCAGCAGCCACCCATTTCTTTATGCTCCCCAACGTTGACAGTTAAGCTGTTCAGATCCTTAGACACCAATGGGTACAGCTCTTTCTCCAATGGCTTATGAGCAAAACAACCCAGCAGTAAGGACCAGAGTTGTCATCCCTCAAATACAGGTAGTCCTCGACTTATAACCACAATTGAGCCCAAAATGTCTGTTGCTAAGCGAGACATTTGTTAAGTGAATTTTACCACATTTTACGACCTTTCTTGCCACAGTTGTTAAGTGAATCACTGCAGTTGTTAAGTTAGCACGGCTGTTAAGTTGAGCAGGCTTCCCCATTGACTTTGCTATCAGAAGGTCACAAAGGGAGAGACCACGTGACCCCGGGACATTGCAATTGTTACAAATATGAACCAATTCCCAAGCATCTGAATTTTGATTATGTGACCATAGGGGTGCTGCAACAGTTGTAAGAGTTAAAAAGGGTCATAAAGCACAGCATTTCAGTGCTGTTGTAACTTTGAACAGTCACTAAATCAGTGTTTCTCAACCTTGACAATTTTAAGGCATGTGGACTTCAACTCCCAGAATTCCACAGCCAGCAATGCTGGCTGTGGAATTCTGGGAGTTGAAGTCCACATGCCTTAAAATTGTCAAGGTTGAGAAACACTGCACTAAATGAACTGTGTTGTAAGTTGAGGATTATCTGTTATCTACATACGCCTTTCAGCTTCCCCCTTATCTCACTTTCTCTCTTCATACCTCCAACCATCAATGCCATTGTGACACATCTGTTCTCAGCTGCTCTTCCACTTACTTTCCCCCCTTTCCTTTAGAAAGGAATGTGCTTTATTTTAGTAAGACAAAATAACCAAATCTTAAAGACTTCACTAAGCTCCTGTGGATCCCATCTTATACTAAAAACAGAGTTTGTTTTGTTTTCAAAACCACAAGTTTTGAGTTTCTTTCAGGACAGTGTAATCTTTTCTGCAAGTCTTCCTTTAATGGCTCAGAATCCTTCTCTATTCCAAAGTTAATTCTACATTAATTTACAGCCAGACAACAATTCATATTCATATCCTGTCCACTTCTCCCTAACAGCTATCCTCCAGGGTCAAAATTCAATAATTGAACTAACATTGGACTAACTAACTATATACAATCCTGGGTGCCATCTGGAAAAAGTGCTGCATTCAAAACACAATAGTAAGATAAATAGCAAAGGTGAACTGACTAAAATATATCATTTTACAGACACATTTGGTCATCTTTTCTCCAAAATTAATCTCAAGTGAGGAGAGATCTAAAATTCAGTATCTCAACTGGTATACAGCCAAACCATCTGGAACTCTAGGCAGCTGACAACGTTTATACACTCAAAAATAGCTGTAGTGCATATGTGATCATGCAAATCTTTTTGTATTATTCCAGTTTTAGTATACTGCCAATGGAGCTATGGAGAGATTTGAAGATGGTATGTCCTGGTTCACAGCTCAGATATATTATCAGTTAAATCATGAACTCTACATTTGTATGAAAAAGTCAAGGGCTGTTTGAGTCTCTAGCCTAAAGTATCATTAGGAAGTACGCTAAGGATAAATCCAATTAAGATTATGTGATATGCATGGTCTCATATTAGTCTTAATTATGAGGAAACATTTTTTTCTCCAAGGAATTAATAAGAAACTCAATTAGGATAAAAAATGTTGCATAATGACCGGTTTCAATCATAGAGAAGCAGGAGAGATCAAGGAGATAATTACAGAAAATGAAATATAATACTCAGAAAAATAATGTGCTTTACCTCAAATAGTTTTATACCCAAATCTGTTCAATTTCTCCCCCAGAATTATATTTGTCTTTTCTCTGCAGGCATACCACTGTGAAAAGAACTGCTAGCATCTATGAGGAGTGCATAAGCTGTTTTGCTAGAGACTATTCATCCTTGAAAAACCTCTAAAACAAAGCATGTCCTCCTGTGTTTACTAATAAATTGCCTTAATCTGATTCAGGCCAAACCAGAATAGAAATTTAAAAAAAACAAAAACATTTTTTAGGAGGAAGAATTCATTTTTTTTTACAGCAGCCATAGTCCATTTTGTTTTGCTTTTTATTTTATTTTTACTCAAGGGCATATGAAATATTTAATTTGCTGACACAAAATTTGTTTTATGTTCCAGCAATGCTTTATGGAACATATGGAATGCTTTATATAATGAATCTTAATGCAAAAATGGCCTCAAAATCTAGTGACCATCTTCAAGAAAAGGGATGAAAAAAATCAATTTTATGGAGAATCAGAAGCAATTAGATTACAATTCATCAAATATTTTAGCACCATTTCCTCTGGATTACATAGAGATTGGGCAGGGGGGAACAGCCTA